TGTTAGAGGGTTCAGTGAGAATTTAAGGGGTAATGAGAAATTTAAAGAATATTTGAAGAATTTGAATGTTAATTTTGCTTATTTATATTAAGAAGAAAAAATCATAATGACATAAGAGTTGTAGGTTTAAATGCTAGATTAATTTGGAGTACCATTAGAGTAAGCATGAAATTGATGGAGTTTAATTATAAGATTTTTGAAAATCCTCAAATGAGTGGGTAGCGTTCCAAATAAATTTTTAATAAAGTATATATAAAAAAATTCCTTTATTTGAATTTTAATACTATTCCCTTATAAATTGTATTAATATTTTCTACAATTCAATTTTTGTAATAATTGTTTTCTTAATGATTATATCTTAATTTTATCAATAATTTATGTTATTGCAGTTTAATTATTTAACTCCACATTTGATAAAAAATGAATTTGGAGAAAGTGAATTAATAGTTGAATAGTATGGTTAAAGATAAAAACATTGAAGTTGCTTTCTTGCTCTATGCATGCTTGGTTTTATTAGGGGGTTTGAGATCAAAACGTTGGTTGCTAATAGTAGTTCTGTCAACCTTTAACATGCTATGGTTCACCTAGCTAGCAGGATGTTTGTAAGATGTGCTAGCCCCATGCGTAAGCCAACGCAGGTGGAACGGAGGGATGGATATTCATGAACATTATACTCATGCTTCTTTCGTGGCTTATGCCGTGCTTGTTTTGTGGCTTCTAGCCATGCTTAATTATTTCATAGCTTTAACCTGCACTTGTTGGTTATTTATCCTCATGGACTATATGTCAATACTTGATTAGTTATTTACTCTCGTGGACTGTGTGTCCATACTTATTATTAATTCTAATAAAGTCCTTCTAAAGTAAAATTTAAAATTTATTATTTCTATATTAATTTTTTAAAGTATTCTACCTAATTGTATCATTACTTGAAATTTTATATTTTCATGAGAAATGCAAATTTTGATGATTTATATTATTCTATTAGCATTGTTAAATTTCACGATTGAACTATTGACCCAACTTGTTCCTTATTATTAGTTCAAGTAGATATTTACTATTCATTGAATTGTTTGAATTAAATTTATTAGTTCTATCATCATAAATTTTATTATAATTCTAATTGGAATGCTACTAACTAAAAATTTATTTCGTCTTAGATATTGTAACTGATTCTATGCCTCTTACAAATCATTGAGGGGCCCTACTATTTCTTTTTAAAAGAAGAGGCACACTGCATTTATTCTTTTTGGTGAAACTATGTATGATATTTTATACTTAGAAGTTAGTGCTCCACATGTACAGTAGTTAATTTCTAGTTTTATTTTGTTGATACAAAATTTGCTAATGTGGAGCTAGTCTCCCTTGCTGGATTGGTTAACTATTTCGTTAACATAGAAATTTCAGGAAGTCCAAAATATAGGAAAAACTCTACTGAAATTTCTACAAAATATTTAAAGCTTTACAAAATTTATTATTGCATAAAACTTATATACATCAATAATTTAGTTAACCTTTAATTAATTGAGCCTTATGAAATGTGAGACTACCTCAGATTTTACCTCAAATTAGTATTCGAGGTGTGACACTTTTGTTTTAGCTTCAACCTTCGTAGGTACTTTTGAACCAAAAGGCCTGTTATTGGTGGTCCTACAAAATCCAACTCACCTAAATTTTTTTGTTATAAAAAAAAAAGAAATTCAAAACATATGCTTTTCAAAGTAAAAAAAGAAGAGATTTTTTTTATCTCTACCATGAGGGACCAAGAAAAATTGGGAGATCATTTTATATTTCCCTAACTTTTTAAGTCAAGTCAATGCATCCCTTTAATTTTTTTGTGGAAAAATGGCACAGTTATGTTGAGCCTTTAGAATAAGAATAGTTGAATAAATCAACTAAAGTTGGTGAGTGGTAGAGACTCCCAGTATCTTGGGAGAAATAATTTCTATTGTCTAGCAAAGCATAATTACTATTAAAAATGAATGGTTCAATAAGCTTTAAGGGATTCAATCATGATTTTATATTTGAAATCAGTGGAAAGAAATAATATATTTCATTTAGTTTTTCAAGGGATTCAATTCATGATTTTATTTTTAAATCGGCATAATCAATGTTATTTTATTAATGTATTTCTTTTCGCTTAATTTTAGTTCAATGTAATTAGAATTTCAATGTAATAAAGTGTGTGTCTCCTTTTATCAGCAACAATTAAAATTAAACAACTGAGATTCAATGAATTTATATTTTAGTCTCTTTTCACTAATCACTGAGTTGGTTATAACGTGGAGAAGAAGTTATTTGTTGAAAATACCAATGATGACAGACGATGACAGAATTGAGTATCAGGAAACTTTATCACCCTTACAAGTTCATAAACAATATAATTTTAGGTGTTATTAATGAAATTGACTTAATATACATATAATTGAACAATGATCAAATTGTAAAATTATGCTTTTTTGACCAAACCATAATCAAATTATGCTAGTTTTGAAAATAATCAATCTTAATTCGATTCTCTCTCTCAAGTAATTCTCTTTTTCACTTTTAATATATTGAATTAAGTTGGAAATATAAGCCACATTATTTATAATTTGTTAGTTGTTCAACTAGTTATTGATTTTATATTGATATTTATTTGAACAAAATTGATTTTATAGAGAGAATATTGATGAAGGACCTCAAAAGAATTTAATAGTTGACAAGTATTTTGACTAAGTAAATATTAACAAATTGATAATTGAAGTTATGCATGTTTAATAAGTATCCAATTTATCCAGAGTTCTTATCAGATATTGATTTCTTTCATGGGTCCTTCCTTCATTGATGTTCTATTTTATATTGATATGTTGATTTTGATGGGCTTAATATATTCGTGGTTGTTGTTTTTTTTAATTGTAAAATCATGGTTGGTTTTTTTCCCAGAAAATTATGGTTGGTTGGAAAGAGTAGTCATCCTTAGTTTGATTTTATCCTCTTATCAAGTATTTTTATTTGAGATGGTGTTTCCAATTAATAATTATCTCTTGATTAAATTAAATTAATTAAAAACATTGAACGATGACATGAGTTTGAGTTGTCACAATTACCTTAAACTTAACTAGTTAGATTAATAATGGTTTTCTTCTTAGATGTAGAATAACACATGTCACATCTTAATTCATCACATAATTCCTATGATAAGATTATATGGCATGCAACGCATAATCTAGTATTAAGCACATGGAGTATGAACATAGAAGAGATAAGAGCTCCAATTGTGTTATAAAATATAAATTTTAAACCCAATAGCCAAATATATAAATTCAAAAAAGCGTTATCCAAACTATTAAGATATGCTTTCATTGAAAACAAAACTATTGATGTTGTATAAATGAGAATTTCAAATCTTTTACTGCTGATTTATGGGTCGAAAGAAATTAAAATTCTATTTTTTTCAATAATTTGAACATATTTAAATTTTCAGCAAAAAACATATTTGGAGCTCCTTTGAATGATACAAATTAATATTATTGAAATTATGTGAATGCAGATGTTTTTACATATATTCATATACTCCTCTAGTTCCATAGGGAAACTTCTAGAAAGATTATTTGATCCTTAATATAAGACACATAGAGAGTTACTTATGACCATTTTTGATTGTAAATTTAATTTTATAGCTCAACATATACTGGATATTTCTCTTTTGATATTTTTAATAGGGCTAAATTTGGATTTTTTTCATTTCAAGATAATTTAATTTGTTGACTATCATTCTTTGGTAGAGAAGAAGTTAAAAGCATTTTATAATAGGGACCCAAGAGAAAATAGTTCATTCATGTCATTGAAAGAAAACAAAATTTCACTTATTTGGGGTCCACCAGTGTCTTTCTCATCAACTTATTTCTATGAGAGGTGAATGATAAAGTGCCATCATTGTACTAAAAGTTATAGTTGTTAATCAAGGTATGACTGTATTTCCTTGAATCTTTTGCTTGTACCAATTATCAATGTTATAAGTTGAAATGTTACATCCATTGAATTATAATTCCATTCATTTTGGGTCCGCTAGAGTCCTTTTCATCCACCTACTTCTAGGAGGGGTGAATGATAAAGTGACATCACTAGACCAAAAGCTATAGTTATTAATCATGGTACAATTCTATTTATTCAAATCTTTAGCTTCCACCAACAGGTATTATAAGTTGGAATGTTAAGTCTATTGAATTATAAAGGAGATTTTGACCAAACCTCAACATGGGGTAACTTTTCCTGTGGGAAAGACACAAACCTAATGAAACTCACCTAGGTGATGGGCTCCAACGTTGTATTCATAATAGACAACCCACCCATAAAGACAAGGAAACTAAGTGACTAGAAAAATTGGAATGGCAATATTTCTCACTATTTCATAAATAGAAAAGTAGTTAAAAAAAAGGAAAGGGAAAAGGAAAATTCACCTATCTACATTTCCCTTCTTCTCTCTAAAAATTAACTTTTTCATATATCAAACAAACACTTATATTTTTTCTTTTTCCATACCTCACTACTACAAAAATAAGTAATTGGAGTGCTCATATCAAAGTGTTTTTAATAAAAACACTCTTAAATAATGAGGCAGAACATAATGGAGCATTTTTAGTTTCACATGCTCCAGTATGTTGAGTGTATGGGAACATTCCAAAAAGAAAATGCTCTCATAGATGCTTAAAAAAATTAATAAAAAAGAACAAGACTCTTTGGAGTTTTTCTAGTAAGAAGAGCTCTCATAGGTATAAATTTAAAAAATATTTATGCACAGCTCTTCTTACTAGAAAAGCTCCCTTAGAGTCTGTAAATTTATATCTACGATAACTCTTCTTATTAGAAAAACTCTCCTAGAGTAGTCTTATATGTACAAGCATTTTTGTTAAAAACGCTCTGGTAAGGTATTTATTTATTCATTTATTTTAACTGAGTCCTTTCAAGTCTTTCTTTCTTCCTCAACCCCACATTCAAAAAAAAAAAAAAACAGAGAGAGAGAGACAAAAGTCCCTCCCCATTCTCATGGCATGAAGCTGCCACACTCTATTTGTCCACCATCCGTGGGTGCTCTGCTATTATGCACAGTCGACCGTGAGTCGCAACTCAAGTTTGCTACCATTGTGGGTTTGCCGTTGACCATCTATCTAATCAGTGTCGTTTGTTGCTTGATTCGTCGTTGTCTTCTATTGGAGTCACCGTCATTCGTTGCTGGAGCGCGTCTCCAATTGACGTTGTCACGAGCTGAGTCCATCGCCTTTGAACACGATTTCCTCCTTCTAGTGCCGGATTTACTCTAGTTCTCACTGGATTTGTTTGGGTCACTGCTCCAACCCGCGAATCGTGCCAAATCTACTTTTGTTCAAAGCCGCGACACTGATTGCATCGTTCTGGGAAGTGTTGTCGCGTGTATGTTTATAACTTCTTTTATTATTGGTTGGACTGAGTTGACTATATTTACCTTTTCTCCATTAAGTTTCCTATGCTCAATGATCTTCCCTTGTTATTTTCACCCTGTTCTATGATGATGTTAGGCAGATCTAATAGATCTGATGGTAATGAGATTTATGCAGCTAGAGAAGAAGTAGTTATTTGGCCATGTGGGCTTTGTTGAGAATCAGACATGATGCTAAAGAAAATCGAGTATGTTTGCTAATGGTGTGTCATGTTCATCATTCCCTAGCTAGTTCTATCGTGCTCAATGTCAATTCTTGTGCATTTTTGTTGTTCTTATAAATGGGGCAGAACCCATGAGTCTAATACTTAGATTTACTAATCCGATTTTATTTTTTTTAAAGCATGGTATGGTTGGTTTAGTTCTTCTTCTTTCCTAATTACTTAGTGTTTGCTGGCTATGCTATTTCCAATAAGTTCATAATAATTTTGTTAATAAATCTCAAGAATTTCTTGCTATTTTCTAACCTTACTTCTTATGGTGATCAATCATAAATTTGAGAATTAGTTAGGCAGTTGGTATTGAATGGTTTTATGATTTAGTCTACTGAATCTGGATGTAACTTATAATCTGATTGAAATTTCATGCTAACATTGTAGCAGGATGGAAATTTTATGGTTGGATGTTTAGGATTCCCACAGGTTGGTTTTCTTGTTCTCTCTTATCGTTGTGAATTCCCTTATTATAATTTAAAGAACATTCTCACTTTTGCAGGGAAATTTCAAAGAGAAACAATCCCATGGCTCATGGCATTCGTTAAGTATCTTGGTGAACTTGGGAACCACTTATAAACCTTTATGTCTTTCTGGAAACTCGATGCAAAAATTTCTCGTATCAGCTTGTCAATTAATTCCTTTCATTCTAATATTACTTCTATCTTCTTTGTTTTAATCCGCAGATGTATCTTATAAATCAGTCAACCTAAATTATAAATGTGAATTTTAGAGTTGTTACCATCGATTTTTTTTTTTTAACATTGTCTTCATATTCCCTTTACTCATCTTTCCATATAATTCTTGCCTTTTATCGTTCTAGCTGTGGCTTATCTATTTCCATTTCTTTATTGTATTGTAACAGAATAAAAAGAAAAAAAAAAAACACACACACACACAAACAATTCTTGCTTGAAATGTCTATATATGTGGCTTAGTCATAAGCTGTGAACCATGTGGAAAATTTCAATGACACGCACGGCACTTCCAACTCTACTTTCTACGTGTCCTCTTCAAATTTTGTACACTGCTTGATACCCAATATTCTAAAATTAACACGACTGGCTACCAAATCTTCTGAGGTTCGTTGTAAAACCATATTTGATTAAACACAATCATCATATGGTCTGAACTCTGGTATTATGATTCAAAAAATGTTTAGACAGATGTTTAGACAGCTCATGACAAAGTCATCATGTATTAATTCCTTTATTTTTTATGATTATTATTATTTTTTAAAGAAGGAAAAGCATAATAGGAAAAAGCATTGCCGATCATGTATTATGATTCTTCTTATTATGATTATTGAACAGGTGAGTTTATGCATAATTAATATGATACTTACGATTTAACTAAATTATTTTTCTTTATTTTTTGCAGATAGAATATGATTGGGTACTTTTCAACTAAGTAAGAATGGTGTTAGATGCACTTGTTTGTACCATGTAAGCATGGGAATATTGAAAATGTTTTTAAATTCTTAGGTTGTAATTTACATTATAATCATGTATATTGCAGGATTGAAATTAGTTGTTGATCTCTTGTATATGTTTTGAAATTTCTTACTGCTTGTATACTTGCATTAATTATATAAATAATTTTTTTGTATATTGGTCATGACATACAATGCATGCAAGGAAATAATAAATGAATCAATTTGTTTTTTAAAAAAATAGACCCATGAGAGCATTTCAAGAAAGAAAAGCTCCTATAAGGGTCATATGAGAGCAGTTCTAAATAAAAAAGCTCTAGTAAGCATACCTTATGGGAGCGTTGGGAGCTTTTGTTCATGTAAGCACTCCCATAGGGTAGGCTTGCAGCAGCTTTCTAACCCAAAATGCTGCCGTAGGCCTTGTCTACAAGAGTGTTCCTAAATGCTCCTATATCTACAGGACCTCTATCTTTTGGAGCATCTTCAAAATGCTCCAAAAAGGAAAAAAATAAATGCTCTAAAAAAAGCTCTTTTGTAGTAGTGCCTTCTAGTTCAAGTCAATAAATGCCTATAATTCTAATGGCACAGTAAAACAAGACTACGGAAATTAAGTGAATCTAGGTATTACTCTCTCCCTCCCCACCATCAATAATTGAGATAGCTATAACGTGTTGTAGATTTATAGAGTCTGAAAGCGTACCTTGCAAGTTGCACTAATGGTTTGGACCTATGCGGAAATGGAGTTACTTTATGGAACTTAGTTTAGGTATGCACAGCAAAAAACAGAGAGGAAGTGGAGAGAAAAAAGAATGCTTAGACCACATTCGTAAAAATATGAGATCATATTTTAGTTTTTTAAACCTCTTTTGTCGCTCACCCACAATGTGAGAAGTAGAGCATGCATTATGCGCTCTTGTAAACTGTCCCCTCCTTCATTCAATTGGCAGGGGGAAAATCACACTTAAGGATTAAGGTTTATCACATATAAAGACTTAGACTTTCTCATTATACTAATAAAGCCCTACAGGCTTGTATTAGGCTTCAGCCACTAAGGGTGGATAACCCAACATTTCCTATTCACACTTGGTGGATAAGTTATCATGGGTCTTGTCTCGTTCTCTTCCTTCTTTTCATAAGAAGTGCTTTGTCATGACTGCATAGGTTTGATGTTTCCATTTTAGGCATTTGTACTACAAATCCAATTATGAACCACACAAAATAACCATAAAGCTAGTTTGTTCTTATGTTGACTTTGTACCTTGGATATCCTAGATTTACTTTATATATGCTTTTCTCTTGACCAATCTAATCCCTCTTCAGTCAGTATAAGACTCAGATTTCCTTTCTCATATGCATAGTATCTATACTTATGAAATCCACAAAATGATATCATAAGGGATTAGTTTTAGACACTAGTATAGGCATTTATATATCAAGTAATCTTTCTTTCACCCATATATCACTTTGACAACAAATAGTCACTTTCACAGCACATTACCTTTACATCAGATCTATCATGATCATAGGATATATAAAAAAGTACCAAGCACTATAATTTACCTCCATGATATTGTCAAATTTAAAGGACATCAATGAAAGGATTATTTTTTTATGGACTCACACAGTAATGAAGTAGGGATTATTTCACTTGCTTTCCAACTACGGTTCTTAAACACATGTGGTATGAGTCACATGCTATGATGTTACTCTTATTTCATAAAAGTGTACGCCATTTTTCTTTTATCATTAACACTGTATAGACTTGAGTTTAGACACACATAGTATCTAATCCAAATTCTTCCACTGTTCTCACATGATGTCAATCTTAAAGAATTTGTAGTCTAGCTACAAGTATCATAGATGTAGGAATCCATGATTTGATCTATCTATATATATACAGATCTCATCTCAACACACTCCTCTTTTTTTTTAGGCAACACATAGTTTATGTTTTTTCTCTGCCATATTAGAACTCTTATTGCTTTACTAGTGAACACATATGTCTCATCTTTATCTACTCTTCTTAAGCATCAAAGGCAATTGGTCGTGTGAGAGAGCCAACCTTCTTGTCACATCCTAGTGCTAAAGGTGTGATCAACACAGAATATGAGATAGACTCACATTTTATAAGCCTTAATTAACTAGAAACTTAATTCAAGATAATGATATATAATTTATGTCTAAATCTAAACTTTGCAAAGTTTTAACCATTCTATAAAAATTTTGGCAAAGTTTCTCTTGTAATTAGACATCTCAAAATTTCTACAATAATAAAACCTGTCAACTAAAGAGAAAGGAGCTTAGCTCTACAGTTGTATATTTTACAATAATAAAATAAGGCTAGGACCTAACTATAGTATACGTAAAGCTCTAGCTTATAATTATATAATAAAATACATATTTTCACTAAGAGGGATAATTACAATGTGCTTCTATTTTCCAAAAAAAGGGCCCCTTAATGATCCATAAGAGGCATGATGTCATATATAATATCTGAGATTAAATAAATTTTTGGTGAGTAGCATTTCAATCAAAATTTATAAATAAATAAAAATGTTTATGGATATAGTAACTAATAAATTTAGTTTAAATCAAATCAATGAAATATTGAAACGTGTACTTAAACTAACAATAAATAATGAATTTTCTCAATAATATAACTTGGAAATTAAACAATGCTAGAAAAACTATATAAGTTTATCAAAATGTGAATTACTCATAGAATATAAAAATTTCAAGTAATGGTATAACTAGGTAGAATGCTTTTAGATGACTAATTTAAAAATGATAAATTTTAATTTAGATCTAGAAGGGCTTTATCAAAATGAATAACGAGCATGGACATATAGTCCATGAAGGTAAAAAATCAATCAAGCATGGAGACACAGTTCACAAAAGTAGATAACCAATCAAGCATGATTGAAAGCCACAAAACAAGCAAGACAAAAACCACAAATCAAGCACAGGCATAAGGCCCATGAAAGCAAGCATAAGTACAATGCTCATAAATTACCATCCCTCTGATCCACGTGCATTGGCCTTCGCATGAGGCTAGCATCTCTTAAAAGCTCCTCACTAGCTAGCTAGGTGTACCATGACATACTAAAGGTTAACAAAGCTGTCATTAACATCTAACATTCTAAACTAATCAATCTTCTAATTAAAATCAAGCGTGCATGGAGCTAGAATAAAAAGTTGAATTTTTTAATATACTATTTAACTATCATTTTCCATTTCTTATGTTCATTTCCTATCCTCCATGCATGAATCATTATCTTAAAAATTTGCATATGAAACATATAATTTAGTAAGTAAGTTACTTTTGAGAAGTAATACCGTTTTTCAAATTTCAACTTCAATCATTACTTAACAATAACATAAATAATGGGCAAAATCAAGAAATCATCATTTATAAAATAATTATCATAAAAATAAAATTGAAAAGGATATTTATACAATTTATAGGTGAATAATATTAAAATTCAAATAAAGGAATTTTTATAAATATATTACTAGAAATTTATTTGGAATGCTACCTACTCACCTTACACATTTTCAATTATCTCTATAACTTGCTCCTTTTTATGCTTCTTGCTTATACTTTAATAGTGCCACTAATTACCTAATCAAACAAACTAACAAGCTAATAATACTAAACCTCCCATATTAAAACTCAATCTATTTATACTTTATTTAAATATCCACAATGTAACATCTCAAATTATTTTTAAGAACCAAATTTAATTAAAATAATAATAAAAATAAATGTCTATAATTAAATTAAAATTAAGAATAATATGATGGAGATCTGAAGTTTAAAATTTACTAAACAAAATTTTGGTTTTATTTTATTTTTAACTATGCAAAAAATTACCAAAATTGACTTGAGCTTTTGTGTTATAGCAAAAAGATTTTAGCCCTTTCTTGTAATTTTCTCCAAATTATTTAAATTAGTTTTTTTAAGGGCAAAATTGAATGCATGAACGAAAAATGAAACAAGGAAAAGAAACAAAATGCAAGAGCAAGGAAGCGACAGAGAGGAGAGGGAGAACAGAGGAGGAAAAAAGGGGATTCAAGAGGCTTTGCAGACATTGTGAGCTCAGTTACAGGATAGATAAACTCCCTACTTCAATCCATTTCCTTCCCTCTTAGTTTTCTTAAGTTATTAGAAGAGGTAAATTTTGGACTTTGATCCCAAAAGCTTTGTTCTTATAAGCTTCGATTTTTTTTTTGAGTCCTAGGGAGACTGTTTTAAGTTTCTATTTGGTGCTCTAACATTTTGATTGGGCAATTAGATGAAAAGGAGAGTTTTAAGGCAAAAATTAAACTTTAAGGGATTGGGTGTTGGTCTTTAATAGTTTAAACCTATTGATTTAGTTATAATTATGCTATTTGAATCCAATAAGATTTAAATTAAGCTTTAGTTTTCATTATAAGGGCTAATTATGAAAGCTCGTAACACTAAGTAAAGGTTTTTGGTTGATTAAAAATTGTATGGTTTGGAAATTAGCCTAATGGTGGCTAATAGATGTTTTTTGGTGGTTAAGTGATACCATATGAATGGTTAGTTTAATATATAGACCATTTGGATCAATTATAGCTCATTGACCCAAGTTGTGTGGTATGAATTATAGTCTTCTTTTTATGCTATTTGCCATGATAAGTGATAAGCATCACTTATATTTTATAAGGATTGTTAGTGAAATTTTTTTGGACGTTAAGGGATAAGCCAAGTCTTATTTTTCGTACAAGAAGAAACCCTTTTGGTATAAAAAGATTGAGGTAACAGAGAAATTTATATTTATTATTACTTTGTTTAGCTATTTTTGAATAAATACTACTAGCTATCATGCATCACATGTTTTAAATGATTAAATGCAATTAATTGTGTTTTATAAGGACTTAAAGGGTGCTACTTGGATAACAGTGCATATATGTTTTCTATTTGTTTTATAATAATGTTTTTATGGAAAAGGTTGTTTGCATGCATTGTAATTATAGAGAATGAAAGTTGTACTTAAGGAATGTAACTGGGTTAGATACCTTAGATAGGTTAAGGAACTGCTTGAGGGACAAGTAATATATGTTATAATATTTTAGAGTGTTGAAGTGGTCAGTATTCGAGAAAGGTAGATAAGAGTAAAAGACATGATCTTGGTAGGAGTTTGCTAATGGGGAGGTGTGGACTCATGATATTCTATGACACACTGCCATTACTCAGTGTTGCCTTTTGTATTATGGGCTCAAAGAACTAATGTGGTTAGCAAATTGAGTGTTTGACACTTCTCATTTAGGGAGAGAATTCAACTTATGAAGTGTGAGATTGAGTACCTTGGCCAAGGTAACCCTCACATGGAGAGTAAGTCAGGCTGGCTCTAGAAGGGAGTTAGCTTCTACTGCTCATAATTCACGACGAAGGAGACCAAGCAGTTAGGTGGATTTAATCGTGCCTTAGATTATGTTTTGTGCTTATGGAGGTATAAGTAGGTATAAGGTTTACCTATGAGCTAAAGAGTGCCAAGGGGCATTCTGTCGGTCAGGAAAGGTCATACTAGCCTATGTTATGCATTCATACATTTTAAATGATAAAATTATATGTTATGTTTAATCTATTATTCATTTATTCAACTATGGCTTACTTTGTAATAATAAATGTAGATTTCTCTATTATTAAGATGGTGGTCGTCTCACTTCTTTCTCTTTAATATTTTTAGGTTCAAGCACAAGATTTAGTGGTGGACAGGAAAAGGAGCAGAGTTAGGGGTTATTTGTGCATTGTAAAGAACTGCAACCTCTTTATTTTGAGCAAATCTATTATAATGTATTTAGGATTAAGGTGCCAGTAGGATGTTTTTATATATACATGTGTGTGAATATGTGTGGATTATGTGCTTGTATATGAATTTTTGTTGCTTCTAAACTTGTGGCTTTAAAACTTGGTTATGATGCACGGTTTTAATGGATTCATTCGGTAGACTAGATTTCCACTACAAACAAATGTTTATTTTGATATGTATATGAATATATGTGATTTTACAAGCAAATACAAAAGTGGTTGCATTATGAATTATGTGCTATGGGTAAACATATACTTGGGATAGAAAGAGTAGGTGCATGGGCCCTACAGGGATTTCTGAGTCAAGTGCCAATGTTTATCATGTACATTTATATAAGTATATGGTGTTTGGAGTGGTTTTTGACCACTCTTGTATGATTAGTGCATTTTAAGAGTTTAGAATCCATTTTGAAAAATGGCACCTGGATGGTTAAAATTTGATATAAGGGGTATTTCTATCATTTAAATATTCTATTAAATACTCCTAGTCTTATTTGATGTGTCCAAAGTATTCCCACAAGTTTGTAACCCTTAGGATAAGATTTGAATAATTTTGAAAATGGTTTTTACCAAATATCCAAATTTCAATTCGATTGTTGCATTTTCCTAAAATTTGGATCACAAGTAGAACCTTTTATAATCTTCATACGAGCTTTAGAATCACTTCGATCAAATATTGAACGGAGAAATAGTGCACTCCGGGAGTTGGTGTGGAGGTGCTATCATGACAACTATTTAATGCTATCCTGACATCAACAGTTGTTAAAGTTGCGACATGCATGAATTTCAATCCATCTGTTAGATCTTTTCAAAATTTTGTATAGTAGTAGTACTCTTTGAATGTGACGTGAGCTCTAGAACAACTTTGATCAGAGGTCTGATGATGAAATAGTGCACTCCAAAAATTGGTTCGAAAGTGTTGTCATGACAACAAAAATACCAAAGTTGTAACATGTCTAAATTTTAATCTGATCGTTGGATCTTTTTGAAACTTGAAAAAAATACTAGTACTCATTAAAAGAGATATATAGGCTTTAAAATTACTTTGATCAAAAGCCATACGGTGAAATGGAGCCTCCCAAAAGTTTGCCCAAGAGAGCTGACATGATAGCAAAATTAATGCTTTCATGACAGAAATTAATTGCCTTTATTTGCCCTATTTGCTTCCATATGCTACATATTAATCCTTTAGACTTTTCTAAGAGGTTTTATATGTGTGTTTTGTTGTATAAATTGTTTAGTGATTTAAAAGGTTTGTTTACTAAGTCAATTTTAGGATCAACTCCTTAACTATACTTATTTTATTAGTTGTGGTGTACTTTTGATAACACTCGGGGCAAGTGTTACACACAAGATTTTCCAAAATCTTATTTGTTCATAATTCAACTACCTTAAACATGCTCTCTTTGAAATTCTTTAAGTATGATAATAACAACTCCAATAATTCATTGACTATGCAATTCTCAATTAGTTTTGTAGAATATAAAGGATATTAATTTTAAAGACATACTATTTGCTCAAGCATGAATCAACTAAGCCAAATCAACAAATTTAAATGACTCATCACTCTAGCATAGAAGAGAAATCTCAAACAATAATATATCCTCCATAATTTCCTTTAATATAAAACATAATAAGTTAAGTTAAACTCATGTTTTCATATAGCTTTGTAATGTGCTACAAGACAAAATTTTCTTTAATCTTCTCCTTTTCAAACATTTTAACAAACACCTTAAGTGTATCAAGATTCAATTTACAATAGTCATCCAATAAGTTCTCCAATACTTTCACCAGTTCCTTTCTTAAATATTTGAGTAAACACTTTGTGCACATCCTAAATTAAATTAAGGAACTAGTATCTTGGTTTAAAATAGAAAATCACACTTTTATGCCTAATATAAATTCTTAAAGTTTTCTTATTATCGATATAAACTTTTAAACTAGAAGATAAATTTCTTGCTTCTTGTCAATGAATTCCAAATTTAATTATATCAATCCATTATCACCTTGCTCTTTTCTTAAGAATTTTAAAAGAAAATCTTAGTAGCATTCACATATGTTCCCTGTAAACCCAAATTTCATTTGTTCCAATTCTCCTTGTCATTTACTTTCTAAGTCAAACTGTAATGACTTAGATAAATAAAATAAAAATAAACACATAATAATTTGTTTAGAGTGTATTTTATTTATGTTTGGAACAATTTTGACAATAATGGGTGTTGGCATAGTGGAAGTGCATGTATAAGTCATCCACTTGGTCCAGAGTTCGAATCTCCTGAAACAAAAAAGGAGTTGATTTTTATGACTTTAATTTTGTGAAATTACCAATATACCCCTCCCATATCAGATTTATATTTTCTTTCTTCTCTTCCTTATTTCGGTCTCGGTTTGACGGAGGGGGAGGGAGAGAATGTTCTGGAACTCGTGCGATCTGGTCTCCGTTCCTCTGCCATCTCCGATTTCTTCTCTTCTTCCTTCACTCTTTGCCATCGCTGATGAGAGAGCTGAGATGCTGTGCGTTTTCTGTTGCTGGTCCACTGTTTTCCAGCCCATGTTTGCTTTGTTTCTTGTTCTTGACCATATTTCTTCCCCCACTCTTCTGTTAGTTGATGATGAAGCAAGTAAATAGCTGATTTGAGGTTGTAAGAGAACTAATTTAGTGGGTTGGAGGTTGGAATTGTGCTGTCTTCTTCTTCCCCTGTTCAGTCGTAGGTTCTATTTTGTGCTTCCCTGTGCGTTTGTGATCGGCTGCCTAAGGTGAGAAACTTCACTCTCTTTCTATTGCTATGTGCGTGTAGTGTTGGATGGGAATGGTGAAGTAAACTGGAAAAAAAAACAGAGAGGAAAGAGAAAAGAAATCTTCTGCCAGCCGTGAATGATGCAGATTTCTTGTTCTTCTTTTCTTTCATTGTTGTCGGTTGCTGAGTTGAAATCTTCGAACCCCTTAATTTTTCGGTCAGCCGTAGGGAGTGTTGAGCTGTATAGTGTTTTGGTCCTCATCATTTTTTCAAAGTCGGCTCTGTCTTACTTCCTTCTTATACTATGATTTTGTTGGCTGTGGGTGCAAGGTGGTGATGGAGACTCATATTTAGATAAGTTTCATATTGTATCTCTTCTTCCTCTAGCTGTTGGCGTGCTCATCCTTGAAAGGGTATGAGACCTGAACTTTGGTTTCTTTCTTTCTGCTATTTGGCCGAGTTTAGGGAATGCGGATGAGATTGATAAAATAAAATCAATTATTTTCCTATTGTTAGGTGCTGATTGGAAATGTGAATTGAGAATTTTAATTATTCTAGGCTTGGAGATGGAAATTTGCTTGAAAGAAATACCTAAAATTTATCTATTTAGACATGAGAAAAAATTTTAAATGAATGAGTTGTGGTGTATGGTGCTGTTATAATGCATTTTCTTGATGGTGTTGGGTTGTTGGTTTCAAGGCTAAATGGAATACTATTGTATAGATTGATACAATGTCATTATGAGAATTATTTGTGGGCGCTTCCAAGATGTTGTGTAAATGATTACAATAAGAGTAATGTGTTTGGAATGGCTGGTGTTGAAGTAATTGTTAGAATGAAAGTGGAAGAGAAGAGCTTAAATGGGACACTTGGAGATTAGTGCTTATGAGATGTTTATTAAAATGCTTGTTAGGAGAATTAAGCCTGATTTTGAAATTTCATTGATTCTTGTAGAAAGTAGAGTTAGTTTAGATGTTGTTAATCTATAAATTTGACTTGAAAGTTGCAAAGGACATTTGACTATGAAATTAATAATATGTGCTTACTAGAGTGCTTGGAGATCGATAGTTTGTTGAGAAAATATTTAAATGCTAGAGTTTTTTTTTTATTTCTTTTTATGAGGGGATTGAAAAGGATGTATTTAGTATCTTGACAAATTGCTAATGATGAATATCTTTTAAACAAAGCTTTGGTTTTCATGTTTCAAATGTATTATAGTAGATTACCGATTAGACGGTTGAAATGGAATTATTGTACTGGCTGAGAGTTAAATAAAGTTTTAATATGATTTATAAGGTGTTTGGAAGAGAAGAAGTTTGATTAAAGTTGAGAAGAGAAATTTGACTTCTGGAGAAATTTCAGGTAAGTAGATAGCGTCCCAACTGATATTTTATTAAAATCTCTTTTATTCGAATATTACATTTTTATGCAAATTATTTTTACGACAACAATGTGATTATGAGACATTTTGTTGATTAAATTACTTTATTTCGCGAAATTATTTTACCAGAATTGATCATTTTGGTTAATCAGTAAATAGAAGTTTGAATTCTAATTGTGGGATTTTATTTTTCTGGAAATCATTTTTATAGCATTAATGCGATTATTGAATATTTGTTGATTAACATTACTTTATTTTGATAAATTAGCTTTACCAAATTTAAAATGTTATTTGATCAATTAAATTAAGTTTGAACTTTGATTATGAGATTTTTATTCTAGCAAATATTGGAGAGATACAGAAAATGATTCATGTAAGTTCGAAGTTGAAATTTTTTTTATTCAATAAATGCAAGCACGAGCATTGGATATAAAATTTGATTCTGAAAAGTTTTAATGCTTAAAAGTATTCATGCGAGTTTGATTTTGAGAATGAGAACTGTATCTTGAAAGTGATGATTTTCTCACATGTTTGAAAATGGTTTTAAAAAGGGACTTTGTACAGAACACTGGTTGCTAACGGCAGTTCCGTTAGCCCTTGGCGCACCATGGTACACCTAGCTAGCAAGGTGTTTATAGGAGGTGCTAGCCCCGTGCGATGGCCAACGCACGTAGAACGGAGGGATGGTTATTCGTGAGCATCGTACTCACGTTTGTTTCGTGGCTTCAAGCCGCATTTGGTTAGCATGACCCTCGTGGACTGTGTGTCCACGTTTGTTTCGTGGCTTCAGCCACGTTTGATTACTTACCCTCATGGATTGTGTGTCCACGTTTGTTTTCATAGCATAAGCCGCGTTTGGTTAGTTACCCTCGTGGATTATGTGTCCACGTTTGTTAATTGTTCTGATAAGTCCCTATATTTATGAATCCAATCGTTTGATGATTTCATATTCTATTGGTTTTTATTTAGTAATTTGTTTATAAATATTTATTTCATTTATGTGCTTTCTTGAAATCAAGTGATAATATCATTTTCTATGGTAGTTTAATGATTTGAGATTTTATTTGAAATTTATAGAGCCATTTTATTTATTATGAAGTTTATAAAATTTTTATGAAAATTTTGTCTATTTAACTTACATAACTATTTCAAACTTTTCATTTTATTTATGTTCTATTATTTATTGTGGGGACGTTATTCACTGGAAAAGATATTTTGGTCTCAGATGGTATAGTTGAACTCGTGACCCGAGATATCCACTTAGGAGTTTTATTGCTGAATTGAAGCAGAAGAATTATTTCAGTCAAATCCTAATTTGATGAAAAATTTGAACTTTATACTTACGTTGGCGTCTGGCCTTAGGTGCTCCACATAGACTACAGGTAGGATCCTTATATTTCTTTTAAAGTTGAATATCTGAATTAATATTGTAATAATTTTTAATTACTCTATTAGTGTGTTTAATGTATTAATTTCAGAGTTTCTCCGATTAAGGCTTAAGGGATATGAATTTTGTGCCCATATCCTGTGCCGGTCACACCTGATTTTTGGGGCGTAGTACAAACACCCCTACACAACTCAAGCAGAATCAATAAGATAAAACATTCTAAAATAAATCCCAATCAAGCCTTTGAATCACATTCAAAAAGAAACTAAAATCAACAACTAAAAATATTGAGATTTCTAATAGGTGTTATGCTCACAAATGCTCCTCCAAGATAAACATGAAAATTTAATAACATTCATTCACTAAATTCTTCTCTCAAACATTTTACAAACACCATGAAGGCATTCTCCATTAACAAAATTATGAACCCAAAATTCAAGCTTCCAATAGCTTCAAATACTTAATTTAACAACCAAGATTCAGCTTAGCATCAAACTAAATTGGCATCAATGATTAACCAACCAACACCTCAATTTTCTCAAATCTATGATAGCAATAATAAGGAACATAGATGCATCTTTCAGCCAGGAGAGGAAGGAGGAAGGACTAGTGACTTACCATAAACCAAAATGCAATGACAACATCCACTCATTAGCTCACAGATGACATCGAAAAAGACGAGAATAGCTACAACCCTACTACTTGAATGAGGAGGAGAAGGAACAGAAATTACAAACTCTAAAAGGGGAATACTCCAGCTTAACATACACATAAGTTATGGCTAGCAACTAAAGCAAAGGAAGACATGAAGATTGAGCACCCCCACACATACTACACATTGACACAGAGCTAAGAAGGAACAAAGAACAATAATAGGAAAAAATTTGATAACTCTAACTCTCCAAATAATGGAGATGCAATAGCGAGATAGAGCACAAATTGGTGGTGAGTAGTTAAAATTGATGAGGGGGGCTAGAAGATTGGGTCGATGGTGAAGAACCAGAGGAGTGAATTAATGGTAGAGAGAAAGAAGAGAAAAAAGAAAATGGGATACTCTATATTTGAATGGCAAAGATCTAAATAAGAGAGAAATTAGAAGAAATACAAGGGCATAAGGAAAATTACAAGAAATGACACAAATTTTTCCAAAAATTGATAACAAAATATCGACTAGGAGAAAATTTTGTATTTAGTTTAAAATTTAGGATCATTACACTTCTCTACCTTTATGACATACTAGACATTGCATATTTTCACATATACATGTATAGCAATGATGAAATAATTTTCATCAAAATGCTACTTTACGTATGCTATTTCATTTCCTACACATGCCAAGGAACTTAACATATTTTACGATTACTTTCTTGATCATACACTTTGTAAGGGGATTTGTTATCATATACCATGTACGAGTTAGTTATACAAATACAACTATCTATGCTATATCATCTTATACAAAGTCATACCTTTCATTCACATTTTCAATCTTATTATGATACTTGGATTCTCACATACAATGTCTAATTGGGTGGTCTAAGCACTCATATGAAGCTTATTTTAAAGGGACAATTATATTGAAGTTCCACACAAGAAAATTAATTACTATAAGCTCCATTGACAACTGAACTAAACTGTATTGACAACACAACCGATTGTCAATGCAGTTTAGTTTAGTTGTCAATGGACCTTATAGTAATTAATTCCCTTGTGTAAGACCTAACTATAATTTTTCCTATTTTAAAATCTAACTGATGACACAGGTTTCATCTCAATCTAACCTTTCATTAGAAAATTGGACTCCTAGATGCAAAATGACTCCTTTATGTCATTTTGTCTCATCCAAGCATCCTAAAGCTAAACCTTGTGTCATTAGTTATTTTTAAGGCCTTGACCATAAATGGGACACTTTATACCTAAATAACCATACATATCATCAACAATGACACCACACATGATTTTAGCAAGATAATTGCCTTGCTCACATAATTAGGCCTTTTACACATCTATGCACACACATATATATATATATATATTCACTTGGCTAATAATTCATATAACCATTCAAAACATACAATCATATACTTGCCTAAGTATCTTAGCCCTACAGGCCCTAACTTACCCATGTTTACATATATATATATATATATATATCACACATATAAGGCTATTTTCATAGTTTATCACACATTTCATATACTAGGCCAAATTCCACATCATATTACACACTTTTTAAGGTTAAGATGTGCACACATGGGAGAGCATTAAACATAATATATGCATGCATTCTTATGACAACTTATAAACATAATTATTTCTACAACATTTTATTTCATTACATAAACTCAGGGTTTCTAATAACCTCACTACTCTTGGTCTAGCTCTTTTTCCCTTGTGACTACCAGTCTTAGGACCTAAAAAAAATATAAACCATAAGGTGACATAAAAATTTTAGTAACTAAGATACTTTAAGGCTATATATTAAATAAAATAATTATAAACAAGTAATAATAACTTTATCTATTTCAAATTCTAAAGTATGCAAATAACATACACATAACCATTTTCATCAATCATTTCTCACACACATGACCATCCTAAGTCCGATATTCTTTGTATATCCCTAACTAAATTTGTAGGTGACTCTAACTATTTCGTAAGAAACTAGTCCTCACCCAACCTTCTGCAGGTGAAGCACCAAGCCAAGGTGTTCTATCCTACTTCAAGACTATGACTTCCCCCTTCACGCACATTAAGGGTGTCATTGACTCCTATCCACACCTTTACAGGCACTAGGTAGTTGCCAAATTGCCTAAATTTTTAATGGTACAATCCCTTAAATTGCTGCACCATGGGTACCCTAGTGATAGCTGATGCATATGGATTTTTCACGCTTATCTCTTTAACATGGGTGAACTCCCACCCCTTTAATATAAGTGAATGAAAATATGCGCAATATCATTTTTATACATACATATATACAAATATATATATATATGTATGTATGAATAGTTTGCTTTTAAATCTACTTTCACAAAGGTATTACTCATAAATAAATCTTTTTTTCAAACAAAAACTATGCAAGTTGCCAAATCATGCCAATATTTTTAAATCACCCACATATACGAATACATTTACTTATGAACAATTAATCTAACAAGTAGAAAGATTGAATCATTTAGTTACCTTAATCCTTTTGTTACTAGAAAGAGTAACGCATGTTACTCCTAACTCTATCAGTTTCTTTTGTCACACTTATCTCATCCACCAACACAATTATCATTAATAGTCAATTATCAATTTGACCATAAATGCTAATTATCATAGTTAACCGCAATTAACTACCTAACCACTTTCCCTTAGTCCTCTTAGGTTCAAATCATTTTCCCTTATGCCTTTTACCACTTCTACTAACTTCTCTAATCATAAAGTTATTATCACTCTTTTAAACTTTTTAATTTAGGTTAAATTGAGCGTATAGCCTTATAGCTCAACTAGAAATCACCACACTAGTTATAAAGCCTTAGTTTAACTTGCTAAAACCTCTTTGTCACTAAAGGGTAAGAAATCAACCTCTTAAAACTCCTTAATTCAATTTCTCTATCTCTTAAAATAAGAAAAATTAGTATAAATAAGAGCTTAAGGTGGTATGAAACTTACTTGGCAAGCGACTAGTCAAAATTGACTCCCAAAACTCTAAGATCTCATGCCCTAATAGAAGATCTCTTCCTCCTTCTTCCTTTAGATTTTCCTCTCCCTCTCCCTTCACATTTTCTCTCCCTCTCCTTTTGATTTTCATGCCAGATCATGCACGTACATATCCCATTTTTGTGCAATGCGTCGTGGTGCATGCTATATGTCACGACATATGGCACAGTAAGAAACTTCTCACTCTATCTTACTCATATCATGCCAGATCACCTTTCTTTCACTTGATCCTAAACACTTATGTAATAACCTAAAAATTTCAATAAGATTAAATTTAATGATAAAGTATTTTGATTATATTTGATTGTATTTTTATTTTAGGATAGCTTTACTTAAAGTGAATAGGTGGCTCAATGGAAATGAGTATGGATGAATAGACTCAAGTCCTAAGCTTAAATCCTTCTAGACTACTAAAAAGGATTTTTATTTTTGCTTAATTATGAAATTACTATTATGCCCTTAGGAAAAAAAATCAATGGCAGAGAGCAAACACACACATCCTCTGTTTTTATTCCTTTCCCAATGTCTTCTTTCCAACAAGAGATCTAGGAGCTTCGAACAGAACTGCCATCCTCCCTCTTCTTCATCTGCTTCTTTCTTGATTTATTCTGTCACCGTCTATGGTATGCAAACAAGCTCTATCTACTACGACACGCCATGGCAAGAAGTGGAATCATAAGCTTTTCTTCTTCATGCATCATCACTTATCTCCTTGCTCTCATGGTTGTGATGTCATCTTGAGTTTGTGTAGGCTTTAAGTTTGGTTCTCTTCCCCTTTCTCTATTTTACTATCACAATTCTCAGCTTAATACTCCAGATGCACTAGCAGTGGTAGCCAGGGAAAATCTTTGATTTTCTCCCTCTTCTTTACGTGTGATGCTAGTTTTTGTGAGTGTGACCACAAAGTTTTCTTCCCTTCTCAGTGTCGAACTATTCCTTTTCCTAGTTCAGCATTATTGGTTCTGCTAGTTAGTGAATCATACTTCTCTTCCCTCCTCCGTCTAGTTGTGCATGTTGTAAGGGTTGTGACTGTGGAATTATTCATGCTTTTCTACTGTCATTAATGAATATAAAGGGAATTTCACTTGAGTTGAAGATTTTTTTTAAAGAACAAAACGATGATGGTATGGATTTGAGTTTCAAATGAACTTAATTTGTTTATACATGCTAGTAAATTTTTGGGAAGTAAAATTGATAAGGAAGATGTTGGCATTAGTTTAACGATTAGTGCCCATAAGGTAGAAGAGTGTTGCTTAATTGTGGTATTTCTCTAAAATTTCATTGATTATTGTAAGAAATATGTTTTGTATGGGTGTTATTGATATATAAATTTATCTTGAAGGTTGTACAGGAAATTTGTTCATGAAATTAATATGTAATTATTTGAATT